TCACTGACATACGGGGGGGGGGGGGGGGGGGGGGGTGACTGCAGACAAACACTCACCTCACCACCACATGGTAATCGTCGATTCGCGAGCCCAGGGATTTGTTGGCGAGGACACCGCCATTTCCAACAATAATACACCTTTTACAACTCAGACTAGGGGGGGAAGAGAGAAAGAGAGATGAGAGAGAAATATGCAGAGAGACAAACTCAACCTGAACCAAGATCTGAAGGCTGGAGGAGCTGCACGCGTGTCACTGAGCCCAGTGCAAACTGGGAAGGTCAGGGGTCAGTTTTGGTTGGAGGCCCTCGGTGAGTACACAGGAAAAGTGGTAAGGATGCCCCCCCCCACCGGCAGGGCCCCACATCCGCGTATTTAGAGAGCTGCACAGACTCACACAGCACGCAGCATGGCTTCTCGCTCTAACTGGGGAGGCGAAGCACCACAAGAACTGTGGGGGGGGCGGCGAGGGGGCGGGTTTGGAGAAGCACTTACATGGGGAGTACAAGCCCAAAGGGCAGAGGCCAAAACACTGAAGAATGTATAACGAGAGAAGCCAAACAGGGCAGGCAGCCGGCCTCGGGGCAGGCAGCCGGCCTCGGGGCAGGCAGCCGGCCTCGGGGCAGGCAGCCGGCCTCGGGGCAGGCAGCCGGCCTCGGGCTCGCGCTCAACTGAACTTTGACCCGAATGTCAGTGCAGCCTGATGTACCAACTTGTTTTTCTGGCAAGAATCACATCAGAGCAAGTTCTGGGGGTGTGTGTGGGGACCAAGGCAGTATTTCACAAGGTCCCACCGTGGACCCATCACTGGCCACGGGAAGAATGTTTTTGTGGGGGGAGGAGCAGCCGGGTTGGACATGGCTGGATGAATTTAGTTTTTCTGGAGGGGAAGATTGTCAGTAAGTGAAAATACCAGGTGATGGAAACGGCAAAGGAGGACAGTCGCCACAAGAGTGTGAGAGGGGGCAGGGAGACGGACAGCCTTCTGCCGTGGGGGGGCAGAAGACCCCGTGTGACCCTGTGACGGCCTTGCAGTGGGGACCTGTGAGCGTGCACAGCTCTGCTGAAGGACGCTGCTGCTTTGTCAGAAAGCCACAGCGGCGGCATTTACCTGTCCAAGTGAGGACTGAGTCCGTAGTTCTTTGTAGCAGCTAAAATATCAGCTATGAGCTTCTCTGTGGGGGAAACAAACACAAGGAGGACAAACTAAGTATCAAGAAAACAGAAAAACAGCAGGCTGTGCAACAAGCCCGGCATGCAGCTGGCTACCAGGAAGGGGCTGAGGGCCAGGGCAGTGCCTGCTGCTGGGGGCCCATCTGCGTGCCTGCTGGCCCCCAGAGGGCCCTGCTCACACCGCAACCTGGGGGGCGAGTCGCCCACCCGCTCTGCAAGCGCAGCTCTCATCCGATGTGTTATTTATAGCGGCAGTAACGCTAAGAGGGTGCCGGGCCCCAGCGCGACCAGCCGGGAGAGAGAAGATAGGAGGAGATGCAGGACGTACTCACACTTGGCCCAGTTGTCCTGTACTGTGCCAGAGCACAACTGGCCCCTCTCCCTACTCCCCTGCAGGTCTGTGCTCACATTACGCTTAACGCTCCAGGTCTGAGTACACTGTCGTCATCACCGTGTGAGTTAGCAAGGGCAGCACTATCGCACAACAGAATACGGTTAATGATTGTGTTTATTTTGTGGTTTATTTGAAGTCATTTCGGGTGCGATGACACAGGGCCCTCTCATAAATATAAAGAATATGCAATGCAGCGATTTTCATTTAATCATGTGGCATTGACAGTTCCACATTTTACCAAATATCTGAGTTTTTGTGTGCTGCATCCAGTTTTTCCTGGATACTCGTCAGCCCAGATTTCCAGCTAACACTGCACCTCTGCCGTAGTTTCCTTAGCTGCAATGTTCGTTACGTATTTGTCTCACCTGATCTGTACGGTGTACCCGATCCGTTCTTTCTGAGTCTAGTTCATGTATAGCGTACATGTGTACACGTGTGTCAGTTACATTATTGAAGTCAAGTCTGCGTTTCATGCTTGAGCATGATTAAGCTATGACAATGGATGCGTATCGTACCTGAATCCAACTGAACTGTGCCCAGGCCCGCCTCTTCAAGTGGGCCGGGACACAGTGCAGCACAATGTGCCCGGGCATGGTGTGGAGCGATCACACTAGTCAAACGAAGCACTTTGGGGGTCAAACGTGCTCGGGCTTGGTACGGATCGCTTAACGTGAGTACAACCAAGAAAGAGTAGAGAGACATGTAGATGCCAACGAGGTCACCGACAGCGGTAACCATGGGATACGGGTGTTGGGCATGAGTCACGGAGCGAAACCGGCTGCGCAGGGCCTCCGTGAAGGTGCTAAGAGGAGGGCCAAGAGGGACACCTTCATCATTTCACAACAAGGAAGACGGAAGCCGGGGATGAGGGTGACACGATGCTGTAGCTGTGTCACTGCGGGGGGATAGTGAGGGGACCCAATTCCAGGAACAGCGTAAAAAAGTAAAAGTAAAAAAAAAAAAAAAGGAACGAAGAAACACAGAGGTCTATCCTCGTGTCAGAGAGACGGGGCGCTGTGGGAGGGGCACCTATCCCACACACGAGGGCAAGTGGAAGAACATGCCAGACTGCGGGGAGGGCCGCCCCCGAGGAATAAAAATAACCCATTATCCAGCTGAAACGCTTCTTAGAATCAACATGTCACATCTCAGCACAGGACCTGGGTCTACAAGGGAACAAAGCCACCTCACCATCCGTGTCGAGAGGCGTGGGGACAGAACAAGGCAGCCCCTTTGAGGCACCCAGGGACACAAAGGATGTCGCTGAATGGCAGTCAGACACACTCGTGCACGGGGGGAGGGGGGGGAATACCGTGCTGCCAAACAAGGGAACACCTTCACATTCAGGCAAGCTTTACAGGCCCTGATTATGCAACCCGTCACAACAAAGCCGGGGGTGGCACGTAACCGCGGAGGGGAGCAGGCCTGACCGCGGGACAGTCTGCGCCGGTCTTCACACGCCACGGACAATCCGGGGGCATCCGCAGAGCGCAGCGGGACTCCAAGGGGGTTTGCACACCGAGCAGAGCGGCGTGTGGCTGCTAACACCTTAAGTCTGGGTCAGAGACCCCGGCGGCGAGCTTCATCCCAAGCGGCTCCTTTGGCTTGTGCAGTGCGGCAGCTAGATGTCATATCTGAGGAAAGGCGCTGTCCACAGCAGCCAGAACACGCCACTGCAATCTCGGCATCACGCAAAATCAGCATCGGCTATTCAAAACAATACAAAACACGTCCACAGCGACAGCTCGGGGAATACACTGAAGCAGCCATCAGACTGTTATACAGAATAGAGTCGTCCTCACTGACACATAATCCCATCGGTCCTGCGGGCTGCAGATGGTCACTGCTTTCGGTAAGGCAGACAGTGCGCAGGTGGTGGCGCACCACGAGGCACGGCAGAGGCACACGAGGCACGGCAGAGGCACACGAGGCACAGCAGAGGCACATGTGTGCCCAACCCATCAGTTCTCTCGAACTTCCTGGGGGGTATCGGAGACCCCATGATGTCACCAGTGTTTGAGGCCAAGCTCATGCCATTCACGCTGTTCCTGTTCAGTGCGGCCGCATTGAAAGATTTACAGCAAACCTCTCAGCAGAGCAGGACATCACAACCATTAATACACACGATTATTTAGACGAACCCCCCCGGTCTGCTCTCTGACGGCCTTCAGTAAACACAATCTCCGTCCAAATAAGGCTGCTTATTACCCGGCTGTCATCGCATTCCTCAATGTGCAACAGAGCTCAATCTCTGACCTCAATCCACAATGCACTGCGAGGGCAGGTCCCCTCATTACACCCAGCATGCGAGTGTGCCTGCATGTGTGTCCTGCGACGGACTGGTGTCCCGTCCAGCGTGTGTGTCCTGCGACTGGTGTCCCGTCCAGAGTGAAGCAAAGCCTTGGACCCTGTGCTGCCTGGAACAGGCTCCAGTATGGATGATGGCACAGAAGCCCTCTCCCCACCACATCACATCCCTGACGGCACAAACACTCAGTAGCAAGGAAGACCGCGCTCCGTTACCTTGGGTTTTGATGCCAAAAGGAGGTAAATAATCTCTGATTTTTCCCAGTCGCCTGAAGTTCTGGTCAAGGAACATGGGCGCCAACTTTGCGAACCTGGAGAGTGACAAGCAAAACATTCAGGTCAACGTCTGAGGCTTTTCCTGTGAGCGGCAGCTCCCCCCCACAGGCATGGTTGGGGGCGGTGACAGGGCAGGGGTTCTGGGCTGTGTGCGATGCTGGTCCGGGGAACCGGCCCAAACGCGGCTCCTGTTCTTCCACCTGTGGTTGCTGTGTGGGCCAATCTCCAGGCCCAGTGGTCTCAGGGGAAGCAGTAAGCAGCACAAGTAGAGATGGAGAGGGCGGGTTGCAGAAGACCCCCCCAAATAACAATGCAGGGAGTTAAAGAGCTCTTCACAGAAGCCAGCCCCCCCCCACCACCACCAACTGCACACCAGATCTGTAAAAAGGAGCTGCCCGAGACCAGCCTATTAATCAGCGAACCCCCCCCAGCCCTGCCAGAGGGGCGCGGAGGCACGTCCGCCCGTAAGGCACTCCCTGTGGCCCTGGTGACAAAGCACTCCTGCTAATCTTGGGCAGCCGTTTCCGTGGACACACCTTAATTGATGCGGCGTGCGTGGCCCCTGCGTGGCCCCCGCGTCGGCTGGGCGTGTGATGAACGGCTGTTTTTGTGACCCGCCGCCCCGCAGGGCATTGCTCTTCCATTGGGGTCCCGTTAGGTGGCCCTGGAGCTGCTCTGGCCAGAGGGAGTCACACTCCGTAAACGCAAACGGCCAGCGTGCGGGACAGAGGGGAATCCGAGGGGGCATGGCGGAATAGCGCATTCTATGACCGCCACAAAACCTCTCAAACCACCGGGAGATTCTATTCAGTGACCAAAACCAGCTGTAAGAGCAGAATCTCAGCAACAACGATAAATGCATAGCGACGGTCTGCCTGTGCCCAGTGCTCTCTGATCAGGATGCCTTTGCGCTGGATCAAGCTCCCGTGGGCGCGCAGCCACACCAAAGGTAGTCCGAGAGAGAAAGCGAGAGGCGGGAACATCAGAGAGAGGAACGCAAACAGGCACACACTGACAGCGAGGACGGGCACGACACCCCCAGGGCGAGTCATCCAGAGGAACATGCCAAAACAAATGGCCTGATTGGGGGCGCGTGAGGGCAGCCGCAAGGGTGGGGCATGTGGGATGCGGGGACTGGCGGCCTGTCACACGTGGGGCCCCGACTCAAGGCCGGGGGCCCATTGTGCTCATTTCCGCATGCTCATCTCTCACTGGGGGCTGTATTTTCGTAACCGGCCTGTTCGAGTTCAACCCAGACATTTGATTTAAGACTCCAATCCAAACAACGTGGACAGGGTGGGTGGGGGGGATCTGGAGCGTGAGACAGGCGGCCAGTGCGGTGAGGGCCGCTCAGGGTTAGGGGCCTTACACGGGGCCCCTCGCGGGTGGCCCCACCATAAGCCCGCCAAACAGAGGGATGCTTAAGCGATTCGCCATCCCTCATCCTGAAGGCGGAGCTGCGGCAGTTCGTCTCTGCCTGGGACCTCCTTTGCAAATGCCCCCCCCCCACCAGCAGGAACTTCATCAAATGCTGGGGGGCCGGCTGGCTCCCAATGCATGTCTTCCATTTCGAGTCTCATGCAGGAAGCCCAATGAGGTTTCGAACAGAAGATTCTGGGGG